ATTTAGTGGGGGCTATTGAGAAAGGGCTCTGTATTCGAAGTTGCGAGTGAATGATCGAGAAGTAGTATGTTTGATAGATACAGGGCGGCCGTGTCGTTAATAGATAAGAATTTATGTAAGAGTGTTAGTCCGTGTTCATTGACAGTACAAACAGTAGGCGGGTATGTGTTGCGTATCACGGGTAGATCGAACTGTACGGTCGTTGTTGGTGGCTGCGAGGTGACGTTTCCTTTCATTGTTGTACCCGAACTACAGCGAACGATATTAGGAGCGGATTTTCTGCGTGAGATTGGTGCAATAATCGACACGCAAGCGAACGTGGTGATCACGAAATACGGGCATATCAACATGTATGAGACCAGCGAGATAGCAGCGATTAAGCTGTCGACGGTACACAATGTGACAGAGTTAATTAATAAATACGATCATCTGTTCACTGGAGATGGCGACCCATACGGTTATTGCGATAAGGTGAATCATGAAATTCCGTTAAGTGATCCGAAAGTAAGGTCATTTACAACGCGAAGAGTTCCATGTCATCTGGAAGGCGAAGTGGAGCGACAAGTGCAAGAGATGTTAAAAGATGATATTATTGAGGAAGCTGATAGCCCGTACAACTCTCCAGTGCTGTTAGTAAAAAAAGCGAATGGGAAGTATAGATTCTGTGTTGATTTTCGACAGTTAAACAGTATGACAGAGTTAAGACCGTGTGCCATGCCAACAGTGGTAGAAACTTTAGATCGCCTACAAGGTGCGAATGTGTTTTCGGTTCTCGATCTTCGCTCAGGATACTGGCAGATACCGATAAAACAAGGTGATAGAGATAAGACGGCTTTCATCGTGGGTCAGACACAATATCGATTTAAACGCATGCCGTTTGGACTAGCAGGTGCACCGTTTACGTTCAGACGACTGATGAAGCTATTACTTAAGAACTTGAAAAACGTGGAGGTTTATGGTGATGATCTCGTCATATACAGTCAAAACGAAAACGATCACGTCAACCATGTAGAAGCCGTGCTGCGACGCATCGAAGAGTTTGGACTACGCGTCAACAAAACCAAGTCCCAGATAGCCAAAAAGAATGTTACTCTGTTGGGACATAAAGTGGGAAATGGTGAGATTAAACCACTGCCGGAGAAAATTTTGACGATTAAAACGATTCCAGCCCCGAATTCAAAGAGAAAACTGAGACAATTCTTGGGTAGAGCAGCGTTTTATAGTCGCTTCGTGAAGAACTTCAATGAGATAGCAGCCCCTCTATACAGGCTACTAGGTGAGCCAAAGTTTGTTTGGTCGGAAGAATCGCAGAGGACATTCGACAGAATTAAACAGCTGCTCGACCACCAACAAATGACGCTAAAACTACCTGTGCCAGGAAGACAGTTCACAGTGTGCACAGATGCCAGTGACTACGCTATAGGTGCGGTCCTAAGACAGGACGAGGGAATCGTTGAGTATGCCAGTAGGGTTTTGACACTCACAGAGAGAAAGTATTCAACGATAGAGAAAGAATGTTTAGCAATGGTATGGGCAGTCGACAAATGGAGACCTTATTTACTCGGCCGGCGGTTCCACATCGAAACTGATCATAAGCCGCTACAATTTTTGAAGACAGCGAGAGACCCACGGGGGAAGTTGTCACGGTGGATGTTGCGTCTTCAGGAGTACGATTTTACGATCTCACACGTTCCTGGAAGTGAAAATGTCTTGGCAGATTTGTTATCGAGACCAGAAGATGAGTCTGAGTTGCCCGAGGTCGCTTACGGAGTGCATGCAGTAGAACAAGACCCACTAAGACTTGCACGTAGGCAGAGGTTGGACGATACGCTGAATACAGTAATACAGGTGATCACCAACGGAATAGAAGTGGATCAAACTACGGCGAGTAAGGAGCTAACCACACTACTCAGACAGAGGGATCGACTCAGAGTGAATGCCTACGGGACTCTGACCTGGCGAGAGAACGACGGAAGCTGGCTGGCTGTCATACCTCAATCGTCGCGCCACGACATGATAGAAGAATGTCACCAGCTAGCGCATACAGGCGTGGCCAGAACGACCGACCTCCTAAGACAAAGTATGTACTGGCCAGGTATGAGAGAAGACGTAGCAAGATACGTACTTGGATGTCCACGGTGCCAGCTGATGAAAGGTGACCGGTGCATACGACCACCACTTCAGTCGATTCCAGTTACCGCGATAGGTGACTTGTGGTCCGTAGATGTCATGGGTCCATTTCCTCAGACATCCAATGGTAATCAGTACCTCTTGGTGATGACGGAACACGCGACACGATGGGTAGACGCCGTAGCAATCCCAGACCAACGTGCAAGAACCGTGACAGATGCAGTAGTTAGACACATTGTTGCAGACCACGGCGTACCGAAGACAATACTGACAGACCAAGGTCCCTGTTTCGAGAGTGAAGAGTTTACTTCCCGTTTGCAACAGCTGGGCATCAAGAGGATCAGAACGACCCCATACCATCCACAAACGAATGGCCTAACGGAGAGAAACAACCGTACACTGAAGGAGTGGCTGGCCTCGAAGGGCGGGAACTGGGAAACGGAGCTTCCACTGATTTTACTAACACATCGGGCTACCACTCAGGAAACAACGAAGAAGTCACCCTTCCAACTGATGTATGGTAGAAAACCACGATTACCGGTACACAATGAGACCTGCCCATGCACCAAAAGTGGAGTACGACGAAATTAAAAGCAGAGAGGAAAGAGGCAGTCAAGAATGTAATACGGAAGCAGCGCAGTGATGTCACGAAGTCTCAGATGAAAGAAAGGACGCAGTGCATTACCTTTGCAGTCGGGGACCAAGTGAAGTGTAGAGACAGGAGATATACAGTTGGAGGCGGGCTAGGTTCACGGAAACTCCTTCCAAAGTGGGAAGGACCATACACAATCACAAAAAGACGGGGTCAAGTATATACCATCCGAAGAGGTGATAAACAGAAACGAGTTAACGCCAGTCAGCTCCAAAGATGGGTACAGTGGGACAAGCCGGTCAGTAACAATCCTCAACTAGAGGATGTAGCACCCAGAAGGTCGGAACGTCTGCGCACGAAGCTATTTGACAGGGGGACGAGTGTGGTGAGAGCAGGCTGCTAGCCAATTGGTAGACATTAATCGACGCTGATTGGTAGATATTAATCTAAGCTGATTCAACAACCAATCACAGCAGACTTAAACGTGGGCAAATATGATTCTCCGATAAATCGCTCTGCTTTCCGAGAAATATCGAAAACAATCAATCAGGAGACTGTGTTTGTCTTCTGAGAAACAGCCAATTAGAAGCCTGCCTTTCTCTGCTGGCATAAGCCTTATTAATGTACATAAAATATATACAAATACGCGTTGATCATCGTAATAAAAGGATCTGTTGCCCGGCCCTTGTCTTCTGTTGTTACAACACCACTACTAGAGGTGTGGAAAGAGGACAAGCTGCGTGTAGATTGGAAGAAAGGCTAATTATTCAAACTACCAAAGAAAAGAGACTTAAGTCAAAGCAAGAAGTGGCGCGGAGTTATGATCCTGTCCATCCCAAGCAAAATATTAAGCCGCATCATTCTGGAGAGAATCAAACAAGCCGTAGATGAAAAACTTCGACCGGAACAAGCTGGATTCACGAGTAAAAAGGCATGTATTCATCAAATCGCCACTCTACGAATCATCATTGAACAAAGCTTGGAATGGCAGACAGTCAGATCTTTATCTCAAATTCATCCACTTCCAAAAGTCCTTCGATGGTGCAGCGTCGATTGAGCGGTTATTTGGCGACTAGTTCGCTACTTCAGGGTGCCACTGACAATTATACATCTCATCCAACAGTTATACGACAATGCTGCATGCCAAGTAATCCACAACGGGAAACTCACGCAAGCCTTCGAAGTGGGGACGGGAGTGAGACAAGGCTGGCTACTATCACCAATGATATTCCTGATTGCAGTAGATTGGGAAATGCGACAGACAAGGTGCAATGAGGAAACAGCAATGAAATGGACCCACACAAAAGACTTGGAGGACCTGGACTTCGGCGAGGATGATATCTGCCTGATTTCCCACAAACTGGAAGATATGTAAGTGAAAAGCAGCAAGTTGGAAGAAGAAGCATCCGGAGAAGATAGGACTTCAGGTGAACAAAGAGCAAAACAGAAGTAATCAAGATGCCTCGCCAACAGCAACACCAACAATAGACAACAATCAGCCAGCATAATCGGGAGGAACCTGAAAGAAACAACCTCCTCTACCTACCTATCTACCTACCTGGGAAGCATCGTTTCAACTACAGGCAGGCGGAACTGACGAGGATATCAAAGCAAGAATAGGAAAAGCAAGACAAGTTTTCATTACTCTCAAGTCTGCTTAGCATGAAAAATAAGATCCGGATTTTCAACTCCAATGTGAAGTCCGTGCTACTTACCATACGGGTCAGAGACTTGGCGAGTCATAAACAGCACTTCGAATAAACTACAGACATTCATTAACAGCTGTCTTCGCTCAATACTACCCAAGATCAGGTGGCCGGCCAGTAAAGATCAGCAACAGGGTGGGATCTCTGCGAGCGAACCAACCAGGAACCGATTGTGCAACAAATAAGCAGGAAGAAATGGAGATGGAATGGCCATACTCTGAGGAAACAAACCATCAAGTGACATCACTAGACAAGCCATTGCTCGAGTGGAACCCGAAAGAGAGGCGGGCGGCGATTTGGTCGTCAGTGCAAGGGTATGGTGACTTGGGGGAGGTCATGTGAAGAGGAGATGAGAGGATGTGAGCAGACTTGGAGTGGGGTGAAAACGTTGACAGAGAACCGAAGGCAATGGAGATGAGTAGATGAAGCCCTATGTGCATCTAGGAATTAAAGGAAGTAATAATAATCATAATAATAATAAAATAAAAATCACTGTGTCCCACTGTTTCATTTCTATTAGTCTCAAGTGCAGTCAGTGTTCGAAGTTCAAGTCGAATTGTCTGCTTGTTTGTTTGTTATTGAATGTAATTATTTTTGTTTGTAAGATTAGGTGATTGGCGCCAGTTACTTTTTCATTGTCACGCTTCGTGATGGCTCCTCCGGCTAAGACTGCTGTGGGCTCAAAGAAGGCTGTAATGTCACAATTTGTAACTATTTATTGTTAACAGAAAGCACTAGAGTCCATCAATAGTTGCCTTGCATTGGTAATGAAGAGTGGGAAGTGTTCTATTGGATTGAGGCAAACACTACGCCTTCTGCGTAAAGGTGGTGCTAGACTGATCATTATTGCCAACAATACTCCTCCACTGAGGTATGTTTTCTTTTGCATTCGTCTGAGCCCATTCGGGTTATGAAGACGTATAAGTTATGTTCCCTTTAGATCACTAGATGTACTTATCATGATATTGTTGAATTATATTTAGGAAGACGGAGATAGAGTATTACGCAATGTTGTCGAAAACCGGAGTTCACCACTACAACGGCACAAACCGCGACTTGGGAACAGCATGCGGTAAATACTTCCGAGTGAGCACACTGGCTATCGAGGATCCAGGTAAGTTACTTTCTAACTACAACTACGAACTTAAGGTGACTCGGATATCATCAGGTCTGCGCCCCATGAGTCAGAAACCAAGTGATTCTTTCAATAAATTTAATTACTCTGGACAACATGGCTTTTTGATTTGAGAATTGCAGCGTTGATGAGAAGTCTGTTAGTGAGGAAACGGTAGGGAAATGCCTGATGTATTAAAACTAGTGTATAATTGTTCCCTCTGTGCTTCGGAATTTTCTGTGGGTAGCATGACTGCCGTAAGTTTCTTAAACTCGTGTTTCCCCATTCATCGACTGCTCTCAGTTTGTCTGGTGTCCCAATTCCTACTGAATGTTGTACTCTGCACTGGCGACACGACGGAAGAAAGTAGTCTGTTCAGATGTTTGAAATAATGAAGTGGCAGTGTTATGAGCGCAATACTAACTTCAGCGATGACCGGCTTCAGCCTTATTTGTATTTTAGTTGGGTGTTGAACTGAGTTGTTTCGTGATATGCGAATAAGTAGTGAGGAGTCATGTCGGCTCTCGCGTGCGTGATAAAATAATGGTTCTTTTTTTGATACAATTGTTTTTGTTGGTTAACCTGTCAATTTAGCTTCTGTGATCTGGTTTTTCGGGGTTGCACAGGAGATTGTATTTCTCTATCGCTGTAGTGTCTTCAAATATGAATAAGTGTCAACTTTGACGGCCTGAGTCCATGCGTGGCCTCAAAGAAATCTGAGTAGTATTTTTGTTTTGTGCTGGGAAAGTGCAGCATGAGATAAAAGAAGTGATAGTTCAGTGGGTGACTGATTTGTTTGTGATAACCTTTCCGTTCGAATGTAACTGATTTCCTACGAAGGATCAAGAATTGGGCCCATTCCCTCGTTGGCTCACGCCATCATATCTATGTATACGGTCACACGGTCTTAGGCTCAATAATCATGCGTAGACTGAGTGATGCTCGGGAAGCACAAACACGAGAGAGCCAGGCAGGCTTTAGACCAGGAAGAGGGTGTATTTATCATATCTTCACCCTCCGACAGATTCTAGAACATAGGCATTCCTACCGGCGTCCAACAGTCATTATATTTCTTGACCTAAAGGCAGCATTCGACTCTGTCGATCGGGAAGTTCTCTGGAGATGCTTGGCTGTAAAGGGAATTCCAAGAAAATATATTGCACTGATTAAGGCACTCTATTCGTACTCATACAGCCAGGTGAGGGCTTACGGCGAGCTGTCATCTGAACTGATGACGACCAGTGGTGTCCGTCAAGGATGTCCATTATCCCCTTTTCTATTCAACTTCATCATAGATGTGTTAATGGACTTAACCCTAGGTGACTTCAGCGGATTGACTTGCTACCTGGGAGTAATCTCGTTGACTTGGAATATGCAGACGATATAGTCCTTCTAGGCGAAGACGCTGACAAAATGCAGAGTCTTCTAAACACCTTGAACAGCAATCTACGAATGTTTGGCATGCGATTCGCTCCCGCCAAATGCAAGATGATGTTACAGGACTGGACTACATCGACGCCTAGTTTAAAAATAGGAAGTGAAGTGGTAGAGCACGTTGACCGCTTCATTTATTTGGGAAGTACCATCAGCCCCAACGGGCTGATCTCTGACGAAATCTCAGCACGAATACAAGGGGCTCGTTTCGCATTTGTTAGTTTACGCCGACTCTGGCGTAGACGAGATGTTCGACTATCGACCAAAGGGCGGGTGTACTGCTCATCAGTCCGCTCCGTCCTCCTTTATGGCTGTGAGACCTGGCCACTGAGAGTGGAAGACATGAAAAGACTAGCTGCCTTTGATCACAGGTGCCTGCGTTCTATTTCCCGTGTAAAGTGGCATAATAAGGTGAGCAACATGGAGGTTAGGCGTAGAGTTCTAGGTAAACAGGGGAAATCAATCGACGAAGTCGTGAAGCTACATCGACTGAGATGGTTAGGACATGTGTTACGTATGCCAAGTCATCGCCTCCCTCGACGAGCTATGTTAGCGGATATAGGGTCAGGCTGGAAAAAAGCTAGCGGCGGTCAAACAAAAACTTGGCATCAGTCAATGAAATCCACAACAGTTGGTCTAAGCCACGTAGAAAGGTGTAGACTTCCAGGCTGGGGTCCTCGGGACGGCAAAAATCTATGGTTGGAAACAATTGGTGACATGGCTCAAAATCGTTCTCAGTGGCGCAGATGCATCCACTCCCTGTGACTTATGATCTTCAATGAAACTGTTTTGTATTTCTTTATTACTCCTTTGTCTCACACCTCTGCTCACTGTTTCTATTATGCTTTTCTTGTACTTTCTTCTCTTGCTTCGCGTGCTACACGGAATGTGGCGACTTGAACTTCCGCACATTTGTGCAAAGTTCTATGTCGAAAACAGACAGACAGACGGTCACTCAATACGTCTGCACGTTGGAATTAGTCGTGTGCAACACTGTCTTATCTGGAATGTCCTCATGTGCCATATGTGTTCATCCACTCTTCGAGATTTATTAATCCTTTACTGACACGATACTATCATCTATTTCTTTCTGTTAACTGTAGGAGCATTAGCTCCTGAATTTGACTTTTTCACGCGCCGGTTTGCTCACTTGCTAGCTGAAATACTGGAGTTGGCTGGAATGGAAATGTCTTAGTTTTCCATTGTTGTACACCTTATCTTTTCTGGGTGTTTAAGATATATACGACGCTGATGAAGTCGTGTCGTCGTTAGATGTAATAGCGTTGTTTACTTGTGTGGGTCTTTATTGAAACTCACCTGTATATATGTTTTTTTTTATGCATGTAGTTCGATGTAGGTTTGCCAACAAATAGCCTCAAAGAAGTCTAACGTTCAACTTAGCTTCATTTATATAGTCAGAAGGCCGATATTGCACTGGGATCACCACTGGCTGATTTTTATTTCGAAACTAATAAACAACAAGGACGTAGAGCATCGTGATATCCTGCAGTCATTAAGCAACTTCCGTCCATCCTTACAATTTACCATGGAAAATGAATCCGAACTACGCATTTGTTTTCTCATGTATTCTTGTGAATCAGCCAAAACTTATCCAAGAAATAGACAGAAGGGAGTGGACAAACTCTGAGTTCATACGCCTGGCAAGTAGTAGTCGAGTGGAACTCGAATGTGTAGTGACGAATTGGGCCATTGAGAGTTACGTGGATGACGTCATCTGAGGAGGGAATAAAAGCTTCTGGGCAATTATGTCGTAGGCATAGTAGGTGATAGTGGTGGACGGAGTGCAATTTGGCTGTGTGTCATTGAAGTCCTCTGTTCATCACCCAAGATGCAATCAAAGACTAATAATACTAAATGAAAATCTGTGAAAACTACACAATTTTGTGGAGGCCAAAAAATAAACAAACCAGGCTATTGACATACCTGAAAGGTGACTTGCTACAGGTAGGAGTTCTAGTGAAAAGTCGTGACCAGTGAGGTCCATCGAGATGTCACGTGTGTATATGGATGCCCCACCAACGACAATGGTTGCGGTCGCGCTAAATCATGAATTGGTAGAAGTTAGAATTCATGAGCCATTGAATCGGGTCCCAGTGGCTGAATCGTATACAAGCTTCCCTTGTAACCGGAAGGTCCTGAGTTCCAACCTAAGTGGGTGCGTACTGCCGATGATTCCCAAACAAGGATGAAACAGCAGCTGTCTGGCAGTACTCCCAGCTGGTTTTCAATGGTTCTCTGACTGATACGAATACGTGATAAACTCGTAAAAACATGAATAACCCTTTCAAACCAAACTATAGAAAATCTGAAAGGCTTGATACAACATTAGTAGTCTAAATCTACGTTTCGGAATATCGAGATATTTTGACTGGCGGATTCCGCAGATGATTAATTTCCTCGATATGACAAAAGGTCACTGTTCAGGTAAAGAATAAAAATGGGTAGTAATATTATTTTTGCGAGCAATCTGAGTCAATATATATTATTTAAATAAGAGCAAGGTGCCACTTATTACATTCCACGAAGGTCTGCTGGAAAAGAACAGGTTTTCAGTTGGGAATTCGTGCAAAGTATGATAGTTGCTCACGTTTGTGCACACATTAAGACTCTATATGCACATAGTTGTTCTGCCATCCAATATGCAGATTTACAATTATCGACCAGAAGTGGGATGCATACCACAACACCATTTTAATGTGGTTTTGTTCTCTGAGCTGGATGGTTAGTTTGCGAAGCTTTCATCACCTTACTGGGTGACATCTTCAGCGCATACTTCAATTTGAAGTCAACACCATTTGTTAAAACTAGAACTTAAGTTGAGGTTCCTTTATGGCTGTGAGACAACCTTGCTAGATGTCTTTGATCATGTGTGCCTGTGTCTGGTCTCTTATGTAAAGGTGAGGTGGCATAATAGGCGGAGTAATATTGAGGTTAGGCATCAGTGAAGTGCTAGGTAAGGAAGGGAGGGGAAATCAATCGACGAAGTTGTGAATTTACACGGATTGAGAGAGATGGTTAGGGCATGTCTTATGCATGCATGCCTAGCCATCCATCACCTTCGACTACAGGCAATGTTAGCTGGCATAGGATGGATTAAGTTGGAAAAGAGCTAGTGATGGCCAACCCAAAGATGGCCTCATCAGTCAGTGAAATCCGCTTGAGTTAGTTTAATCTAGCTACGTAGGAAGGTGTAGACAGGTGTCTGGTTGTGGTTCTCGGGATGGTAAGAACCAACCAATAGAGGCTGGAGCAGATGCAACTACCACTTGTGACTCAATATCCAATAAAACTATATTGTTCTTCTATATTGCTATTCTTTTTGCCTCATATATCTGTTTTTTGAATCTGTCTCTACTCTATTCTCTTGTTTTGTGTGTTACATGAACCGCTGCACATCTGTTCAGCGTTCTACGTTGAAACCAGTCAGTCAAATATCTAAAGTATACTGTTAGGTAGGGAATTTCGTGACTAGATGCATACACAAGGAATTATTTCTGACTGTTGTATACCATTATTGGAACAGTATTAAACTTTCTAGATGACCTGTTGCTTTGTTGAAAATCCTCACAAATACACAGTTCACAAAGTGAGCACTACAAAAGGGATTTAGGCGAAAAGCTGTTTCCTAGGGTTTTAATTACAGACAACAAAACTCAGT